TGCGCTGCTGGAAAGTGGTGTACTTCGCCAAGAGAGCTTAACCGAGAGGAGAGGATTTGTTTTATAGGCAGAGGCCAGAAAACGAGAAGCCGACGGCACCGAGGGGTCACACCTCCCTTCTGCGGTGGGAGAGACGGAGACGGAGAGCCAGGAGTCACGGGAGTTACCAGAAACTCCTCCAATCAATTCCTATCAATTCGTCAGTTTCAAAAATAAAGGCCTCGCCCGCCCGTCCGCTCGCTCGCCGCCGCCCGCCTGCCTGCCTCGCCTCGCCTCGCCTTGCCTCGCCTCGCCCACTCCCACGCGCACGGGCATGGGCTCGGGCCGGGCCGGGCGGCGGCGGCGGCGGCGCGCGCGCGCGCGTGTGGCATCCAGGTGATCCACTTTTACTTCTCAAATAGATCGGCCAATGACCAAGTATTTAAGTAGAGTCGCCTCTCGATTAAATTCCCATATGGTATAAAACCATTAATGCACATGTACGGACCATAGAGTTTAATAGAGTTATTAAATAAATGGGCCAAGCCCATAATATCTAACAGTTAAACCTGAAAGGGAATATACCCCTTGGATGCGGGTCGAACCGAATCCTCAGAAACGAGCGGACGGGGTCGACCCAGATGAGCCATGGTGGCACGGAGGGAGTTCCGGCAGGCGGCGCAGCATAGGGCGGCGCGAAGAGAGCTCCAGTGAGCGGCGCAGCGTTGGGCAGCGCGAACTCCAGCTCTGCCCCCGGCCCTCAGCAGTGTGGCCTCAGCTGAAGGAGGAAGAAGGCTGACAAATGGGCCCCACATGTCAAAGACTCAACCCACTGATAGATATTCTTCCAACCAAACACAAAACTGGAATGAACCGAACCTTGCCAACCAAACAAGAGACTAGGTTCAACCCAACCCGCAAAACTAGAACAGGTTCAACCCATCCCACGTCATCCCCGAACCAAACACACTCTGACTAGCACGTGAGCACTCATATAGTAATAAACATGCGGCCTTCTCTTATTTCTCCCTCACTACTCTTCTTTTTCATTCAACCTTCCGCCACTGCCTCTGCCCCTGCCGACCACCGCCGTCGCCCTTGGCAAGCAATGCCTACATCACTAGCCACCACCCACCGCCCTCCCCGCCACCCCACTCGATCCCCTAATCCGTATCTGAGGAGTCACCCCCGCTGCCCCATTGTTACTGAGCTCGCTCACCACCCACCATCTACCTCCGTCACTTGGTCCCCGCCCTCCTCTAATCCTAATTGGAAAAGGAAGAGGTAGACCCCTAGCCCACGCGGCCACCAACTCTGCCCACCGAATGTCCTCAGCAGCCTCACCCGCTGCTTGTCCAACTGCCACCACCAAAGGGCGCATGTTAACTGGTTGACAAAAGGAGATAGAAATACTGCGTTCTTTCATAGTGCGTGTAAGGAGAGAAGGAAGCATAATAGAATTGTTCCTTTGAAGAAGGAGAATGGAGGATGGGTGGATTGTGAAGTAGAGAAGCAGGCTTTTGTTACTAATCATTTTCAACAACTTTTCAAGTCCATTGGTCTTAACAACACACAACAATTGTTGGATGTTGTTAAACCGTGCGTCACGAGTGAGATGAATGACTCTCTATTGGCTGAATTCAGTGAAGAAGAAGTTGTAGCTGCACTGAATTCCATTGGGGATTTGAAGGCCCCTGGGCCTGATGGTATGCCGTCTGCTTTCTATAAAAATTTTTGGGATGTGGTTGGAAGGAAAGTAACTTCGGAGGTGCTGCAAATTCTAAATGAAGGTGCACCAATCCCTGCTGAATGGAATCAAACGGTAATATCACTCATTCCAAAAGTTAAGACTCCAGAAAGTGTTTCTGAGCTTCGCCCTATTAGCCTCTGCAATGTGCTTTATAAGATAGTAGCAAAGATCCTCACAAACAGGCTGAAAGAAATTTTACCAAACATTATATCACCTACTCAAAGTGCCTTTGTACCTGGAGACTTATATCAGATAATATTCTCATTGCTTATGAAATGACTCACTATCTGTTGAATAAGAGAAGGGGTGAGACTAGTTATGCAGCAATTAAGTTAGATATGAGCAAAGCCTACGATAGGGTTGAATGGTCCTTCCTGGAAGATATGATGAGCAAAATGGGTTTCCCTAGAAGATGGATTGCGCTAATTCTAAATTGTGTTACTTCAGTAAATTACAGAATTAAGGTGAATGGTGTACTCACATAGAGCTTCAGTCCAGAACGGGGGCTAAGACAGGGGGATCCACTCTCTCCCTATCTCTTTTTTATTTGTGCTGAAGGTTTTTCTGCTTTATTGAATCATGCTGAACGTGAAGGAAAAATCGCCGGGGTTAAAATCTGCCATGGTGCTCCTAGTATTTCTCACTTACTCTTTGTCGATGACTCTTTGATTCTCATTCGTGCAAGGAAGGAGGACGCTATGCATTTACAGTCTTTTAGATTTGTATGAGCATTGTTCTGGGCGGATCAGTAATAAAGCAAATCAGCAGTTTTGTTCAGTGTGAATGCAAGGGGCACAGACCGAGAAGAGGTGAAACAAGAGCTGCATATATGGTAAAAGAAACTATGAGTGAGAAATATCTTGGGCTACCGGTGCATGTTGGAAGATCCAAAGGAGGAGCTTTTGCCTATTTGAAAGATCAGGTGTGGCAACTGGCAACACATACAGGGGTGGAAGGAAAGAATGTTGTCTTGGGCGGGAAAGGAAGTCTTGATTAAAGCAGTAGCCCAAGCTATCCCGACTTTTGCAATGGGATGTTTCGAAATTACAAAGGGCTTGTGTGATCAAACAAGCAGTATGATATGCAGATTTTGGTGGAATCAACAGGAGGGCAAACACAAGATTCATTGGCTTAGTTGGGAGAAAATGATCAAGCCAAAGAAGGATGGTGGCTTGGGTTTCAGAGATAGTTATTCTTTCAATTTGGCTATGCTTGACAAACAAGGATGGCGGCTTATGCAGTCTCCCAACTCTTTTTGTGCTAAAATTTTGAAAGCCAAGTATTTCCCAAATTCTAGCTGTTTGCAGGCTCATCCAAAAGAAGGAATCTCATATACATGGAGGAGTATACTTAAAGGCCTTGATGTTCTAAAAGAAGGGATAATTTGGAGAGTTGGTGATGGAGAAGAGGTAGACATTTGGAATGACCCATGGCTTCCAACTAATCATACCCGGCGACCGGTAACACCGAGGGGCAGGAACCTTGTTCGCCGGGTTGCTGAACTCATTGATCCTATCTCTGAAGATTGGGATACCCAGCTGGTCTTGGATACTTTCAGAGAGGAAGATGCAAAAGTAATTTCGCCTTGCCGGTGAATATTTCGATGAGGGATGCCCTTGCCTGGCACTATGACCGTAAAGGGGTCTTCTCGGTTAGGAGTGCCTTCAAGATATATAGATGGAACTTACTGTCCAACCAACAACGTAGCGGAGGAATGGCATGCTCGAGCTCAACAAACCAGCAGGAAGATCTGTGGAAGAAGATGTGGAGCATGGAGGTTCCGAATAAAATCAAACACTTTCTGTGGAGAGCTGCACATAATAGACGCCCTCTAAGGTCTAATCTGGAGCATCAAGGAATGGATATCATCAATAGGTGTGTTGTCTGCAATTGCGTAGGTGAAGACGGTGGGCACCTGGCTAGGCTGGGGCTGCAAGGCCATAGAGAGCAGCTGGCAGTCATAGAGTCGGCAAGAGAGGTCATCAGGTATGTTACAAACCTGAAAAGGGAGGAGCAGCTGAAAATGGTAATCGGCTTATGGTCATGGTGGTCAGAAAGAAATAGGATTAGGGAGGAAGGACAGAGGAGGCCCGTTCATCTTATTGTAAAGGATGTGGAAGTTTATGCGGGGGAAATCTTGCAGTTTCTGACCAAGGTACATAGAAGCCAAACTGTGAAACAACAGAAATGGAGGAAGCCTAGTCCGGAGGTGCTCAAGCTCAATACTGATGCATATTTTCGAAAGGAGAGTGCTTATGGTGGCTGGGGCTATATTATTAGAGACAATGATTGTTATACTGTCATTGCTGGAAGGGGTAGATTATCACATCTCCTAGATCCTTTCCAAGCTGAGCTAATTGCATGCTTGCAAGGGATTCAAGCTGCCATAGATATCGGTATTACAAAAATTATTGCTGCAAATGATGCTGTGATGGTGAAATTTACGGTGGAAGCGAAGGATTGGGGCTTATCGGTGCCAGGTAGAATAATCCAAGAGATCCAAGAACTTGCTAGTTTAAACTTTGTGTCTTGTATTTTTTCTGCAGTTCCTAGAGAGTGTAACAAGGCTGCCCATGTATTAGCAGCTTTGGGATGAGTGTGAAGAAGGGGACGTTCCATTCTTGGACCTCTTCCTGACTGTATTCAGTCGATTGTAACTGCTGAGATCGATTGTAAGTTTGTAACTGCTGAGAGTGCAGTACATGAGTAATGGAATGCATTTCCATTTCAAAACAAAAAAAGGGCGGAGATGCTCCCTCCCTCCCCTGACGATGGGACGACGCCACCACTGGATGTCGTGCACGTGCTGTCTATTTCCTCCAATCACCAAGCGACGGTATCGATCGCGGCGGTGCACGCTGGTTGAATACACAGATTTTTGCCACGGCATGCACTAACCGACTCGACTGAAGAAATAAAGGATAACCGACATTCATCAAGACCAGCTCTTTCCTCGAATTGCAATCAATCACGATCCGATTTGGACCTGGAGAGAGAAGAAGTCTTGGACGGAATAATCTGCATGCTGACACGCAAGAGTCCTTTTTCAATTTTATTCCGACATGCAAGAGTTCTCTTGCCGTGCGTAGCACATCCTGATCTGCAATGCAACCGACCTAAAGTGATCCATATATATCGACGACGTCTTGAGGGTTCCAGGCATCGATCATCCAGAAAACCAAAAACCAAACCAAACCGCAAGGCTAGGACTAGGAGCTGTAGATTTGATTTCAGCCGGCGGCCATCTACCTTACCAACAACGCCGGCAAACATGTCGTCGGTACCGCCGCTACTGTCCGCCCCTGGCGCCGGCAAGCCGTCGCGCTCCGCTTCGGCCGTGGTCGCCAAGGCGACGAGGGGCTTCCAGGTGTTCCGCATCGACGGCTACTCGTGGACCAAGGCGCTGCCGGGCGGCGAGCGCATCACCTCGGAGCAGTTCAACGTCGGCGGCCGCTACTGGCACATCGACTACTACCCCAACGGCACCGACGGCTCCAACGACTCCGCCGGCTCCATCGCCCTGTACCTCCGCCTGCAGAACACGTACAAGAAGGAGCGCGTGCGGGCGCAGTACAAGTTCAGCCTCCTCGACCTCGCCGGCAACGAGGCGTACGAGCTCCCAGCCGAGACGGGCATCTTCAGGTCCACCGGCCGCAACCCGCACAACCCCGGCGAGGAGTCCCCGGAGGACCCTGGGTGCGGCTACGCGGGCTTCATCACCAAGGAGGACTTGGAGAAGCGGCGCGACAGCCTCCTCAAGGAGGACTGCCTCGCCATCCGATGCGACGTCGGCGTCACGGAGGTGAGGACCATGGCCGTCGGGCCAAAGAACGGGAGGCCGGCGACGATGAGAAACTACCCCGGCGGCTACGGCTACGGCTACGCTGGCGGCGCCGAGTCTCCCGACGAGGACTTTGAGGATGACGGCGGCTCGCACAAGGGCAGGCGTAGTGAGCCGGATGACAAGGAGTACATCCGCCGCTGCCTCTCTGCCCAACGCCGAAAGTAGATGCAATCGAATTGGGTGTTATGTTAGGGATTGCATGCGTCCTGTTTTGATTATTTCTTAATAATAAATTATAAATTTTGTTTCTTTCCCTTATTGTTTGGTTTCTTCATTTAAATTATTTTTGGGATTATTTTTTGCATAAATTTCTTGTTTACTCATACCTATAAATGAGTGTCTACATATAGTCAATAAATTCATGCAAGGAAGTAAAATTCAACTAAATAACGATCAAGGTGTATATAATAAGTTAAAGAAATTCTGCCTTAAAATATTGATTAGAGGTTTGTTCGGATTCGAACAAATGAGCTTCACCTCATGCAAGACCTCTCTACTATTGCACTATACACTTATTTGTGAGTACTTGTAATATGTTATCTTTTTTTATCAACTTTTTGTAATCTTGTACCCCCTCCATTCCAAATTATAAGTCATTCCAATTTTCTTAGAGAGTCAAACCATCTCAAGTTTGGCCAAAACTATAGAGGAAATTACAAAGATTTATGACATCAAATCAGTATTACTATAAAAATATAATTAAGAAAGAATCTAATGATACTTATTTGGTATCATAAGTGTTATTATTTTATATTATATAAATTTGCTCAAACTTGAGATGCTTTGACTCTCAAAAAAAGTTGGAAGAACTTATAATTTGGGATTGGGGAGTATTGGATATTTTGGCCACTTGTTGGTTATCATTTTTGAAATTGAAACAATAGACAAATGATCTACATGTATCATGAATATCTCAATATTAATGTTTCTTTTGAATTCAATAGTAATGGCCATATCAGGAGGACATAACTAGGTCTGTTACATTATCTTAATCAACATGATAGCTTCACATAAGAGCAACTCCAACAGTTCTCTAAATCTTTTCCTAAAACTTGATTTTAGGCATGACCAAGATGCACGCCCACGGGACTCCATATATGTGTTTTGCACTTCTTCGTGGCTTCTTCTCCTCATCCCCGCTATTTTTTTCCATATATGGCGCCAAGTCTTTGCCATCCCCATCCTCTGCCCTTGCTATTCCAACCATCCAATAAACTCCAATCAGCGCCTCCACCATCCCTAAAAAGAGGTAAAATTGGTTGTTGTCACCCTTCTCGTGCCCCAGCCACGGTATGGCATGCCCTAACATGGCCTCATTTAGCCGCTTGTAACCGCCATTGGTTGACCAAAACCACCGCCTGCATGACATGTTGTAGCCAATGCTAGGCCTGCCATGGACGGCTGTGGCCTAGCTAGCTGTTGCCGACTGCCAATGTCGTAGCCGCAACGACAACACCTCTAGTTGGCCATAGCCGCCATCGCCCGGCCACAGCCGGCGCCAGACGCCCTCTACCATCTGCGCCTGGCCTTGGCTGGCTGTGGCCTAGCATGGGGCAGCCATGGATGGCCAATGGCGACTATAGCCTAGCTAGGGGTAGGTGTAACCTGGCTGAGCTTGGGTACTACTAGCTGTGGTACAACAATATGGTTATGATTCAATATTTTGTTGTTGTTTCATGTGTATGTCATGTTGCCAAACCTGAAACGATAGATCAGGAATTTTTTGTTTCACATGTGCCCATCGTTGATCATAGAAAAGGATAATTGAATTATATAATTTATAGCAAGTTTGTACATGTATTTCATTATAGTTCCAATGTTAACGATTCAGCATGTAAGATATATTTGTATGATTAAATTATTCAACATTTTGCTTCTATTTCAGCTTGTATCAAAGTAATATGAAAAAATATCTAATGTATATCTCATTGTTTTGCGTTTTTTATAATTTTTATTGCAATGTCGGGAGGTGGAATTTGAACAAGCATGGTCATTGGTGTGGTTGAGGACATGTCCTTCAATGACCTCAGTATCCCACGTGATGTACAACCATCAGAGGTACATGCTTATGAGGTGCAACCACTTCAAGTTACACGTTCTCGAGTTTCAAGGCTAAATTAGAAAAGATAAAAAGATTTAGGCCTTGTTTGTATGTTGTCATATTTGAATCAATCCATATGTGTTGGGGTGCAATGGCCATGCACTTGGTACCACCGGCCTAGCTAAGGGCGGCTGTGAGTAGCTAGAGCTGGTTTGGGTGGCCAGAGGATCGGAGGAGGCAAGCAAAGTTGGGAAGAGCTTGGCCACATATGGCCTCCTCTCTAACTGCGTTCAGTGACTTGGAGGCTACAGAGTATCCCTACCAGACTTGGGGTTGTATGGTGGCCAGGTCTGGCTCGCTGTGGCCGCCTAGGACGAGCAGGAATCCATTTTGGTGTGTGTCCTACCTGACCGCAGGGGGGATGAGGGTAGGCAACTAGGCATGGGGCAGCGACCAGGGCCGTATCTACGATTTGGAGGACCCTGAACAAAATGTGTGATGCTGCCCTAAAAATTGAAAAGAAAACGAAGATTCTTTCACAACATATGTATCAAGAGCACCCCTTTGAGTTTAAGCTGCAGCTTCTAATCTTTGTTTCTTGTTACGCTTTTCATGGCCAGAATCATACCTCCTATTTCTAAAAGAAATGATGCAGATCAATGAAATAAACAAATATCCTCTCCAATTCTCCATGTTTATAATGCAAACTTTCAGATTATCTATTCGACTAATCTGCTATCCAAGATACAACAATATCCAAGACACAACAATAGGCCTTACATTGGGCCAATACTCCACAAACCAGTGATTGCAGGTCTGGCCACATGTTATCTTTTCTATTAAGGATTAACTATTGCTACTACTTAGTGTAAATTTGGTGGCCCTGTAATTTTTGAGGCCCTGAACCATTGCCCCACTTGTTCCTGTCAATATACGGGCCTGGCGGCGACTGTGTACTGTGTAGGAGGGTTGACAGTGATAGGCGTGTTATGAAACCTAGCATGCCAATGAGACCGAGGATCTACAAGTGGGTCCATGCCTTTTGATTTTCTAGGAGCAAATTATTGAAAATTGTTTGTGTTAAGGGTTGTTTTTTTCCAATATTTGTTAATAGAGTTGCAAAACCAAAAACTTGGAATTATTTTTTTAATTGTTGGAGATGTTGTAACAAATCTTACCCAACAGAGATATATAATACATAGTACTAAAATAAATAATATGTGGAGTAACGTATATATAAAAAAATTTAGAGAAAACATATATATACATAATCGACAGTTCCATTGCAAAGGGGCGGAGGCAGAAATTATACAGAGAGAGGCCAGCCTCGGTGAAAGAGATTCCAAGTATGCTAACCGAACTGGCTGATTTATTTATGTTCTTGTGGTGGAACTTGACCCTTAGTGATCAATGTAGTTGCTACTATTTTTTTAGACTTATTTTAGTATTTAACAATTTCACAATGCTATTCTTACCGTATTAGCCAACCGTGTCTGTCCACAGCAGGGCGCATATGGTGACTTAGGAATCTCGAAATTTACAGGCTTAGTATTTTAATGGTGCTCACGGTGAGGTAAAATAGAAAAATGTTGTTCATTTTGCCGGCCCGCTTGGCTCCGGCCCTTGCAATTTCAACATATAGCCGGCTAGGGCGAACAGGACTCCATCGATATAGGATCCTATCATCTCATTCCCTCTTCGTCAACTCTCCCGTCTCATCTCATCTACCCTATTCCTAGCACAGCGCTGAAGTCAGCAACACGTTTCCCCGCCATGTCGGCACCGTCGTTGCTGTCCGCCGCCACCGTCGTCTCGCGTTCTGCTTTGGCCCTCGTGCCCAAGGCGGTTAGAGCGTTCCAGGTGCTCCGCATCGACGGCTACTCGTTGACGAAGATGATGTTGAATAATCTACTGCTTTCTTGTATGAACGCACTGCAAGGGAAGGCGGCGCCGAAAAGGCTCCCTGCTATGGTACTGTAGCCGTTGCAGGGGCAGGAGCCAAATGGCTCACCTGCCGCACTGTAGCCACAGCAGGGGCAGGCGCCAGAGTTAGCCCTGCTGTGTTATCTAATCACTGTAGCAGCATGGCAGCTGTACTAGGACTAGATGGATAGAGTTGTATATATAGTTTGCCACTGCAATTCAGTAAAGAGAGAGTTCAGATTTGCCATCTCCTACACAGGGCTTTGACCAACGCTGGTGTCTCTGTTGTGTGTGTATGCTCTGTTCTCCCTCCCTTCTTCTACCTCTAGCCATAGAGTGTGGTCGGACAATGTCTGTCGTAGTCAGCAAGACTGTTGAGTGGTCAACTCACCTGAGCCGGTGATCCTATGGGCTAACAGGTGGTATCAGAGCCGTACAAACGTCGTCGCCGGACTAACCGCTGACGATGATGCACGGTTCGGAGATGGGCGGCAGCAATGGCACTGCTGTGGCTGCCCAGCCACAATAGGAGGTCGTTATTCGCACGGTGCGGGAAGTCAGCGGCACCAGTTGGCCGACGCTGACTCGCACCAACTATGGAGAGTGGTCGGTGACTATGAAGGTCAAGCTCAGAGCCCGACGGCTCTGGAATGTTGGTGACAAGGACACCGAAAATAAAGAAGACGACGTATCAGCGTTGGAGGCTATCCTCGCTGCTGTACCGGCGGAGTATAGGGAGCCGTTGGGGGTGAAAAGCTCTGCTAAGGAGGCGTGGGAGGCTATAGCGGCGATGCACGTCGGTTCTGACCGCGCAAAACTTCAAGTTCAAGGATGGTGAATCGGTGGAGGACTTCTCCCTCCGCCTGCAGATGCTCATCAGCAAGCTAAAGAGCCACGGTGTCACCATCGATGAAGAGGAGGCGGTCTCCAAGTACCTCCACTCCGTGCCGGCAAAGTACATCTAGATCGCTCTCTCAATAGAGATAATGCTGGACTTGTCCACCCTCACCATTGAGGATGTGATAGGCCGTCTGCGTGCGGTGGACGAGCGCCTAGAGCAAGCGACAGCACCAAAGGACAGCAGCAAACTGTTGCTGACAGAGGAGGAGTGGGCTGCTCGGAGGAACTCCGGGGTAGCCTCCTCCAGCCGTGGTGACAATGGCAAGCGCCGCGACAAGGCTTCTTTAGAGAGGAAGAAGCA